TTTTTTTTTCTGCTTTATCTCCCCCAAATCCCCCCCTGGTACATAGTTGTATATCTTAGTTGCAGGTCCTTCCAGTTGTGGCATGTGGGACGCTGCCTCAGCGTGGTCTGATGAGCAGTGCCATGTCCGCGCCCAGGATCCGAACCAGCGAAACCCTGGGCCGCCGCAGCGGAGCACGCGAACTTAACCACTCTGCCACGGGGCCGACCCCTGGAATCATATTTTATCACTTTTATACATTTTGCTTTTCTCACTCAACAATCCTTAGGGAAATCCTCCTCACACACACACACACAAACACCCCCCCCCCCCCGAGTCGATTGGCATAGCTCTCATTCATTGTTTTTGATGGTTGTATGAAATTTCCCACAAAATCACCACGTGTAACATAATAGATGTGGCACAGACTGTGAATTGCCGTCCAATATGTCTTCCCTTCTTTCTGGTAATACAGTCTTGATTTTATTCTAGAGGGTAATGTGCCAGAGAAGATAATCTGTTTTCCAGTCTTCTGGGCAGTTAAGTCTCGTCATGTGATTAAGTTCTAGCCCAGGATATGGAAGTATACGTACGACAAGGGATTTCTGGGAAGGCGGCTTAAAGGATGCTGACTTAGCTTGGTAATGGGCACTTTTGTTTTTTCCCACTCCTTCCTTTCTACTCCCTGAAATTTGGATGTGATTTATGGAACAGTAGCAGCCCATTGTAGACCATGAGGTACCCTTGTAGATGGAGGCTATGTGCTAAGCTGGCAAAGCAGATAGGAAGAGTCTGGGTCATTTGTAACTGTGCAATTACCTTTCCAAATCTAGACTTTCTACCTCTGGATTTGTTTTACGTGAAAAGAAAAATAAACTTCTATGTTGGTTTTAAAAAATATTATTTTAAGTTTCTTGTCATTTTTTTGAGAGTTTCTTTTTTTACAGTACTATTAGGTTTGCAACAAAATTGAAAGGAAGGTACAGAGATTCCCCATATATCCCCTGCCTCCACACATCCATAGCCTTCCCCATTATCAACATCCCTCACCAGAATGGTACTTTTTTTTTTAGCAAGAATGAACGTACATTGATACATTAAGTTTTTTATATGCAGCCAAACCTGATCCCAACTGATAGAGTAAGTGAAAACTACCTGCCAGAATTAGAGACTTTTTTGTGGACAGATGTCTTTGATGAAACTTTGATGTTGGTTAGTGTTTGCCAATACAATTGCCCTTTCTTTGAACAGGTTCAAAATCCTAGTTTACAAGTTTTCTGTAAAAGGTAGAGTCCTTTTTCAAAGTAAAATAAACTGAATCCTTTTTACATGCTATAGAAGCCATCTTGACATTTGTTTCTTTTGAAAGTATAAAGAATTTGATTTGAACTGGGTCTGTTAATGGCATGTATCTGCTATTGAGAAAAGTTACTTAAACATGAAGAACCCCAGCTGCTTGGGCAAGAAACATCAAGGAAATGTTAATGTCACCCAGTAGTCAGTTAAAGACAGTAAGTGGGATTTCTGTCTGTTGGCCCAGCTAGTACCAGCCAGCTCTTCCTCCTGGGTAAATGACCAAGGAGAAACCATCTCTTAGAAAGTTTCAAAGGATTTCTGTTTGTCAAGGAAATTTCTAAACCAGACAGTAATCAGGAAGTGTCCATCATTAGTTGTCAGATGGCTGTAAAATTAGACTAGCAAATTTGCTTGCTAAAATAGTTTATGCAAATGAAATCATACAGAGAACAAATACTGCCATGTGAGATAAGCCGAAAGGAACTCAGTATGTCACTGTAATAGATCAAAATAGTGCTCTCCAGTGGGATTTTACTACACAATGTTTAATGGTATTAACTGAAGTGGTAAAAACAAAAACTGGTAGAGAGGAATGAAAAGTCAAGAAGTGGCAGCAACCTGCAAAATGTTCTACTTTGATGCATAATGAACTGCCATTTGAGATTTAATTAAATCATAACTGAAACTGGTAAAGAAGTTCATACTGTATGGGGTCTTTCATTTTAACTTCTCAAAGCATTTTAGAAGATTAATGAATCTTTATAAAATTACTCTAGGTAAGCAAATATTATTACTGTTACTTAAAGGACTTTAAAGATTGAAAATTATGTCAGATTATGGCATTAAAAGGATTTTCTCAAAACACTATTTATTTATATTAAACAAAGTGTTGAAGACAATCCTTTCACTCATGGTTTCATATATATATTTAAGTAGCGGGAGGACTTCAGGGCTGAAATTGAACTCCTGGTGGCAAGAAATTAAACAGCCTTCCAATAATTCAGTAGAATATTATTTCAAAGTCTTGTATTTATAATTGAATTACACCAATAAGAGGTATTAATTACATGATATTATACAAAATAAAAGTCACTCAGAATGTGTGCAAATGTTTTCAATGCAAGATTACTTTGTTTTAATATTAGTTGGTAAGTCATAAATCAAAATACTGGGATGAGAAGGTCAGATGTTGTTTTTAAATTTTTTATTATTTTAGCAAACATATAGAAAATACCACATGCTGAGTCATACGTATAAATGAATATTATTTTCTTTTTATTGGCTCTCACTTTACTCCCTCTATTGTTCCTTTCATAATACCGAACAAATCACTTAGCTCTTCAAAGAACAACCTCACATAGTCTTGTTCCACCTATGTACACAGAAGGAGGCATATGACTTAAATTGATCCTAATCAGACTGAAGAGAAAGGCTTTTTTTCCCATGGTTGGGGAGAGGTTTCTTTTTCCTGCAATAAACATAAAAAAAGAAGTGCATTAGGCCGGCCCAGTGGTGCAGCGGTTAAGTCTGCACATTCCTCTTTGGAGGCGCGGGGTTCGCTGGTTCAGATCCCGGGTGCGGACATGGCACCGCTTGTCAAGCCATGCTGTGGTAGGCGTCCATCAGGGCCAGTCTTCCTCAGCAAAAAGAAGAGGATTGGCAGCAGATGTTAGCTCAGGGTTAATCTTCCTCAAAAAAAAAAAAAGGTGATTGTATTCATTGCTACTGGCAGCTATTTTGAGATTACTAAGGTAGGCAGTCTGTGGACAGAACCAAAACATGGGAGAAGACAGTCAAGAGAATCATAAAGATATGGAAATGGAGTCTTTATGCAGCTTCGTTTGGAATATGCCACCTAGACATTTAGTTATGTGATTGACAAAGTACATTTCTTTCTTGTTTAAAATAATTAAAAAATTTTCTTTACTTGTTTGTTTTTAGTTACTTGTAGCCTAAAACGTCCTAACTGATGAAATATTTGTAAATCTAGGCAAAGAAAATGTATTTTAAAAGGAAAAATGATAGTATTATCTGTATAATACCTTGCTTTAAAGAAGCAAGTTCTTGTTTTAACCTAGACAACATTGCAAAGAGGCTGACATGCAGAAGTAATGGTTGCCATTAGCTGCTCTCAACTCTCTCCCAAAGGCATCTTTTCCACTCCTGTTAAATATTAAGCAAAGTGTTTACTGTTTTAAGCCAAATGATTTTCTTTGGCCAAATGAATATTTTTGGACTTCTAAAAAGTGTACTAATTTAATCTGGAATATTAGTTTTCCCCTATTTAGATATTGTTTCTTCTGGCTTTGCTTGCATCTATTTTTTTAATCTTAGACACGGCTCATTAATTATGATGGCACCATATATTCTCTTGTGCAGGGTGAGATGGGGCAGTGATTGCCCTTTCCTCCCATTTCCACGGAGTAGAGAGCTTCTGATCCCCTTCTCATGAGTGAGTAGTGTTAGAGGGTAGATTTCCTGTTTCTCTCTGTACTCTATTACTTATGACTCCCCAAAGAAGGAGAAGCTAATCTGATGTTTTGGAAGATCCCATAACCATCACATAATGGTATCTCCTTCTCAAGTGAAAAAAAGATCTCT